AAAGTAACTCAAGCACTTTTAAAGTACTTTTGAGTATTCTACATTTCCTATTGGGCAATGGACCACAGGGCGCTCAGCCTACATTTTTTGTCTCCAAAATTAAAGTTATGGACCACTTGCCCTTCACTGAGATCCAATTCTCCCATCACAGCCGTCACTTTGACCAGTAGAAACACAGAATGATCTGCTGCCGTAGACAACTGTATGACAACAACACCCCAGCTTTTTTAATATTTCCTCTAGGGATGTTACCACACAGAGTAAAAGGGGAAATGATGGTGTGAAACAGCAGAGGCACTTTGTCAACCCGCTGAGTTAACCTTACTGTCATTAGCATCAAGCTAGCAAACAATGCTACATCCTCACAGTCGGACATAAAGTAATAACATTAACAAATAGCGGCGGGGCTTTTACTCACCACAACCGCAGAGGCTCCCAGCTTCATTTGAAACAGACTGCATTATAGACGGTCCGTTATTTATTAATCCCTCTGTATCTTTATATAATTACTTTTTATCCGCTCCGTTGTCTCTGTAAAGTTAACATATCACACCATCATTTCAAACTCAACACTTGTTTCAAATTAAAGGCTCCTTATAACCTCGGGTGAGAGAATCCCTCCATTTTCTAAATAGGCTTTTATTCTGAAACATTTGTCAGAACTTCCTGTGGAAGATACAGTAGCTTGACAGTTTACTTATGGCACTTCAAATGTAGCTCCTGCCATCTGCTGACGCTTTTAGGTGACTACAACAACATGTCCGCTGGCACATGAACACACACAGTGACTCAAATAATAGTGAAAGTAATAAAAATAGGACAAGAATAACCCGATGACATCACACACGCCGTGAAAGTCGACCGGGGATAATTGGTGAGTACCAGCTTGTAGCGTGTACCAGGCATAATGTTAATGCAAGTCCTGAGTCTGAAATATGTCTGTCAGCAACGGCATCATTTCTTCTACCACGTAGCGAGCCACAAGCTCCGTGGCTTCTTTCAGACTGATAGGTTTAACGTTATCTCCGTTATTAGAACCAAAAGACAGTCGTTGCTGTTTCGGAGCTGAAGGACCAGCGTTCTAAAAGTAACAGAAGTAACTGATGTCTTGTTTGAAAATGTACTTAAGTATTTGATTACTCAAACAGCAAACTAACACGTTAGGTTACTCGTTACTGCAAAAAGTAATCAAAGTACTCTGTCCTTGGTTATGCTGCAGTTTTGTTTTAACACTCTATTCAAACTCTGTGTCCTAATCGGGCCAACTGGAACAAAAACACAATTAAAGGGACAGTTCTAGATAACACCTGGTCAGTGGTGCTCAAAGTGAAAAATAAATAAATAAATAATATCTATATATCTATTTAACAGGGCAGCTGTGGCTCAGAGGTAGAGCGGGTCATCCACCAATCAAAAGATCAGGGGTTCGATCCCGGGCTCCTCCAGTCTGCATGTCGAAGTATCCTTGAGCAAGATACTGAACCCCAAATTGCTCCCAATGGCTGTTCCATCAGTGTGTGAGTGTGTTAAAACCGAGTAGCAGGTGGCACCTTGTATGGTAGCCTTGGCCACCAGTGTATGAATGTGTGTGTGTGAATGGGTGAATGTGACTCGTAGTGTAAAAAGCGCTTTGAGTGGTCACTAGATGACTAGAAAGGCGCTATACAAATGCAGGTCCATTTACCATTTATATATATATATATATATATATATACACACATATATATATTAGAGCTTTAAAATGCTCCACATTCACTCCCACTTACATGATACAGTACAGGTCATGAGTTTTAAAATGTACTTTTTTGGCACCACAATGGACATGCTGTCCATCATAGACAATGCCCATCACCCTCTGCACAGTGCACTCACTAAGCAGATGAGTAGTTTCAGTGGCAGACTTCTCTCCCAGTTCTGCTCAACAGACAGACCAAGGAAGCCTTTTGTCCCCCAGGCCATGAGCTATTCCACTCCTCTTAGCGACAGCAGGTTGGAAAGGACTGACTTGATACTCACCTGCTCACCTGTCTTTAGGCTGCTGGACTTTCAGTCAGTTACTGGTCATGTTAACCTTGCACAATTTGCGTTTGCATTTTCTTTAGATATTTACACCCTATTTGTATTTATTTAGATATTTACCCTCTGTTTGCATTTATAGCCTTCTGTGCATTTTATATTTTTTATTTTCCAGCATTCCCTATTTGAGTTTTTACTTATAAGCACCTTCTACAATCAAAGTATTCATTACTCCCACACCGCTCTTACATTTTAATCACCATACATTGCAATACCTGCACTGTCAACCATCTAAATGTGCACTACCATCATTAAGCATATCTACTGTAGTAACAGTACACTTATATTCTCTATCCATATGTATACCTGTGTCTTTGTATGCATTGTGTAATAAGCAACTGGGATCTATCCATCTATCTCAAGCCGAGAGCCATCTAATTCCTTAAACTGGAGAGAAGGCAGAAATCTCTGCAGCTGATAATTACAACACTCGGCAACTGACACCAAAACAGTCTATACTTATAAACATCACTACAGGTATGTATTTTTGATTTTGGGGTGGGCTGTCCCTTTAACAGAATCAAAGTTTTCATTTACCTGACAGACAGAAGTGCATGTTGAAAACTGAGCTTGTTATTCAGGTGGACACAGGCCATGTCAGCAGGCAGCTACACAGATGTCACTGCATGTATTATGTATAAATGTTCCAGGAATTTTTGTACAAGGGTTTACAAGAGATCACCACAAATAAAGAGGTTCGCCCTCAGTCAGATTTCTTTGAAGCTATAATAGAACAAGCATGGCTGCAGGCTCTGAAATCTACAATAGTGCTCAGAGTAAATTTTCTGTGTCCCCATTACATCGTGTTCACACTGACAGTTATAACACCCCTACTGCAGTACTTGCAGTGGGTCTGCAGATTCACGGTTCGACACCCAGTAATGCTTGGAAAAAAGACAAAAAAACTTGGAAAAATGGTGTTGCATGTAGAGCCATACATACATAGCCTAATAAGTCTCTTTTATGTCTTCAATACATAACTTGGTCTTTACACGTTAAGGACTTTTTTAAACAGTCTGTGTAGGTACCATGTATATTTTCTCTGTGAGCTTTATACAAAATAAACATCTGATTTCACAAATTTGAGGTCTGTTATCTTGCTTGGGAACTTCACCTGTCTCATCTGTCAACTGCTACATCCATTTTACTAATATAACAAAAATAAAACGAGCCCAGAAGAGAAGAGAAAGGAAGCTTTAATTCAAAAGGAAAATGGAACAGAAGGTTGGTATCAAACATGCAGTGTGAAACTGTAAATGTGGATCTTGAACTTCAAATCTGAATCTTGAACGCTGAATCTGTGAACAAAGAAAAGAAGCTACAATTACATCCTCTCACACGATCAGGTTCTGACAACTCAAGTTTATTGTGTGTAATTCACTGTTCAGACATAAGCTTTGATTTCACTCTACTCAAATGAGCAAAACCCTAGTCAAAATCTATTTGATAGATCACTGCATTCTCACCCACTTGATTCCATCATAGGAGGGAGTCATTTGCCCATCTAGCTGCAGTGAACACTGTTGAGATGAAGAAAAGTGCAACTTAAATTAAGCCCCTCATTCATTCACATTACTTCTGAAGTCCAATAAAGTGCTCAGTAACATTCACAAACTACATTAATTAAAAACAGCCAGGGAAAACACGCAGTTGTTATTTCCATTTCATCTCAGGTAAGGTGACCAGATTTCTGAAATGAAAAGCAGGGACATTTCAAGTTCAGAGTACAGAATATTAAATTATATTATATTATAATATTAAATATTATCATTATGAAATAAAAAATGGGGGCAATTGCGGTTTCATGTATTTTGACGACTTTCAAAGAATGCAACGGACCACCGTGTCATTGTGGTCTACGGGCGTAAATGTTTTGTTTTTTGTTATCTTGTCATTAAAAGGACATTTCTTTTCCTCCTGCTTCCTTTTACTCTTCTATCAGTAATCTTCCTCTCCTAAAACAGAGCCACATCATAATATATTGTAATAGCTATCACACGGTAATGTTCACAATTCACTATAATACAGCCACCAACAACAGTATATGTTACTATCAGTGAAATAAGTCTTCAGTCCGCTCCTACTCTGACTTATTTCTTCTTTTGCCCTCATAAAATAGCTTCTGTCTTCTGTCTGTGGAGTAAATGAGCAAAAATACGGACAGCGCCACTCTGCCAATGCAACCCACATAGCGGTCACAGGTAGTACTGCATTAGTCTGTGTGCAACCAGAATCAGAGCTGTGGCGTCTATTTCACTTGTGTTTTTTTAATCCACAGTTGAAAGTGAGGTAGGACAGAATAGTATGGGACCTATTTAAGAAAAATTCAATTCAATTTCAATTTTATTTATAAAGCCCAGTATCACAAATCACAATTTGCCTCACAGGGCTTTACAGCATACGACATCCCTCTGTCCTTAAGACCCTCACAGCGGATAAGGAAAAACTCCCCCCCAAAAAAAACCCTTTAACGGGGAAAAAAAACGGTAGAAACCTCAGGAAGAGCAACTGAGGAGGGATCCCTCTTCCAGGACGGACAGACGTGCAATAGATGTCGTACAGAACAGATCAGCATAATAAATTAACAGTAATCCATATGACACAATGAGACAGAGAGAGAGAGAGAGAGAGAGAGAGAGAGAGAGAGA